ATTTGTGAATGTTATGTGTACAGAAATAGGGAACTTTACTTACTTACTTACTTACACCTGTTACCTCTCGTTGAGGAGCATGGGCCACTCATCAGCATTCTCTATCCAACTCTGTCCTGGTCAATCCTTTCCAGTTTTTTCCAGTTAACATTCATCCTTTTCATATCTGCTTCTATTTCGCGCAGTAATGTGTTCTTTGGCCTTCCTCTTTTCTGCTTTCCTTCCGAATTCCAAGTTAAGGCTTGCCTTGTAATTCACATCGGTGTTTTCTTTCATGAATGTCCTATCCACTTTCAACATCTTTTCTTAATTTCCTCTTCAGCTGAAAGCTGGTTTGTCCTCTCCCATAAAACGCTGTTGCTGATAATATACGGACAGTGAATGTGGAGTATTTTGCGTAAACAACTGTTTATAAAAACTTGTACCTTCTTGACGATGGATGTGGTAGTTCTTCACGTTTCAGCTCTGTACAGCAGGAACTTTAGGATTGGTCAAAACTTAGTTATATCCAATGTTCGTTCTTATAAATTAAAAAGATCTTTTGAGAAATGGAGTTAAAACTTCATTATGACATGTCCAGTTTCATTCATTATTGTAAAACAATCTAAACAAAATGTAAAGTTGAAATTTTGTCTGACTAAATGAGACAATGTTTATAACAGTAGTAGTAATAATAATAATAAACTGATAAGAAAGCTCACGGTGTTTTTATTTAAAATATTTTTTTAAAATTTACTTATTCATATAGTCGTTGTATCACAATAATTATGGTTTTGAAACTGTTTAGTCAAATTCACTTGGTGTTCTTTGCTTGTATCTTCCTATTGTTGTTTAGGAATGCAATCGATCAGTCTGTTGTTAGTATATGTGCATACTATGAGAATCGCCTCGATACTGCCCTAATTCATAAGCTTTATAAGCAAAGATGAATAGTGGCTACCAGTGGAATCCATGACGTGCGTTTCGTCCTACTTGGGACTCGTCAGCAGGATGTACCTGCATCTTAGAGTTGATGTTCACTCTGGAACTCGAAGTTATTGCCATTTGCTTCAAACGCCATCGCGTCATCTACTTAGCTACTGAGTTCTGATAGTTGCTTGCATGTGTAATGGGGTGAAGTTCAAATTCACTTGGTGTTAATTGCTTGTATTTTCCCTATGTTGTCTAGGACTGCAATTGATCTAATGACAAAATTATTAAAAATAAATAATCTATGTGTTTGAATACCTGATGGGAATTTTTAGACTTTGAAACACTAAGGGATTCATTATAAAAGATGAAATACTAACAGAAACATTTTGTAATTTGCCAGTTATTAAATTTACTCTTATATAATTTTATAATTTACAACATTTAAATCTATCTTCTCTATCCTTTTTAAAAATTTATTTAAACACATAAATATTGGTACAAGGAAGCACCAGATAAATATGCGCTTCACAAAACTAATTTGATTTGTTTGAGGTCTATGATACTGCCCGGGTACCCAAATCGAATAAGGTGGTTTTCCTAGGGGGCCACACCCCGAGCCTTTGACCTGAAGATCTGTTCCACAAGGCAGTAGAGCATCGTGAGGAGATGTAGTTTCATGGTAGACGATGACCAACGATTGATTCATACGCCATTTGTTCCCTCAAGATAGTGGAGCCCATGTTCACCATTGGTTTGGAATCAGGGTTTTCCAACTCCCCTAGGTGAAATTCCCGTGCTCACCAACCCGATTCAAGCGCCGGACATTCGCTTTTCGTTCTCAATTTTGAAAGCGACACCTCCGCCAAGAGAAGTCAGTGAGTAGGACCTCCCTGGAAGTGGTTGTATGTACGTGGCCATGTGAGAGCATTTCGAGATGGAGAGAGGACTCTACTCACTCTTGGCCGTACCAGGGCATTTGGAGGAAGTAAATTTAATAACTACTGATACGATTTCTGTTTTATACTTAACCTGTATAGCTACCTTAAGAAAAAATAAAAGATTTCTTTAACTAGAAATTGTTTGCTAGACAAATGGATCAAATATTTTTTTGTGAATATAAAAATTAATAATTTGTGTAATTAAGTAGAAATCTAACACGGTAAATTACTTTTAGAACAATGAATATATCTGACAATTTAAACTTCATTTGTTAATAAATATGTAAATGTAGTTAACATCTCATATATTATACTACTCAGTCTTATTTATTGAGTGGTATAAAAGATTCTATCACGAAGTGCACAGCTGTCAGAAATACAAAACAATAACTTGTTTAATCGTTAAAGCTTAATTTTCAAACAAACAATTTACGTTATTCATTAGTAAGGAAACCTGACTACTACTGGAAATTTATTGAAGTTTATGAAACGAATTCATCTTTCGCTTATAACCGTATTCTAATGTAGCTTTTAAATAAGGTTGTAGAAACACATACCTCAAAACTATGCTACTATACCGCAATTATTGTGTTCATTATTTAATCCTACGGAACTTCTGATAAACATTATCGTTAACAATTAAAAGCAAAATTCTTTTTCTACAAATTTCTCTATATTGAACTTTGGAATAAATTACTTTTCAAATATAAACATCCATATCCATGTACACATATTTTAATATATGCTGTCGGATATGGCTTCCTTTTTTACAAGATACCATCCTGCTTTAGATAAGGTATCTAGATAAACTAGTACAAAAATAAAAAGATTTCCGAGTTCTGTAATTTATTGATTAATTCAAATAATTTGTCATATTGAATTCACTTAGTATTGTTTGTTTGAATCTTGTCATTGATGTTTAGGACTGGAATTGATCAGTCTCTTGATGGCATATGTGCACACTATGAGGATCCTCTCGATATTGCCTTAATTCATAGGCTTTATAAGCAAAGATGGATAGTGGCTACCAGTGGAATTCAGGACGTGAGTTTCGTCCTATTTGTAACTTGTCAGCTGGATGTACCTGCAACCTAGACTTGATGTTCACTACGGGACTTGAACCCAGTACCTTTGGCTCCAAACGCCATCGCGTTATCCACTCAGCTACTGAGTCCTGTCATATTTATGCTGAAATAATATTTTCTTTTTTGTCAAGAAAATGGATTACGATTTTCATCTCACTATTTATTAGTTTTGATTTATTTATCATCATAGGATATATTAATTATATCATAAAATGAATGTGACGGGTTTTAGCTAATTTAACTTAGAAAATTATAAATAAACTTATAAAATGACAAATTTCCTGAAATTATTGGCCAAATAATAAGTTACTAGTCAACTTATTCATGAAATGATTTAATCATTGGAGTACGAAGAAAATGTTCATTAGTTAATGTATGACTAATATAATTCACGTTATACACTTTGAAACCATCTGAAATATGATACAAATAGTAATAGCTTCGGCGTTTTTCATAGTGAACTGAAAGGATTAGATAAGAGATTCTAAAATAAATGCCAACTTAGTATGTTTTACACATTCCATTTGAATTTCAAACCATCATCTAAAGTTTTATTTGTTATTAAATATGTTATGTGTCAAGCTAGTGGATTTCTGACTTGGTTCGTATAAGGGATCTGGAATTTCTTAGATTTGTGAGAAATAGTGTCAGAAAAACGGGCAAATAGTTTGATCAAAAATATTTTAAATTCATGTAGTTAGAGATTATGAATTTCAGTTAACGAATCAACAACTCATTCAAAATATTGACGCCTACGTAATCTGATTATGATCATACCTGAAAGAATATTATAATAAATTATGGCTGAAATTGCTTATTCTGGTCAGCGTTTTGTTGCAAAGTTGTTTTCCACGGGATAATGTTACTGATCTCATGCCCAACCCTGCTTCTTTATCCGGGCTTGGGACCGGCAGTAACCCCAAACGGGCTACAGACGAAGTTCATGAATTAATGAAAGAACACTAATTTCTGCTTTCAGTAAGCCTGTGACAAAAGTGGCAAATCATGTTTGTTTGTAAGTGAAAGTGTAATAATTTCATAAAGTATCAGGAATAAATAAAGTGTAAAATAATTAGATTTAAATATAATGTGTTATGTAAATTTCCGTTGGAAGTATTTGCGGCGGATCGATCAAATTCACGGTGCCAGTTAAAACCAGTGTCATCAGAATTCTTTCTTGTGAGTCTTTGTAACTCCCCAGTAGTTTACAACCACCACCTTGCACTTGTTTGGGTATGAGTCTTCTAGTTCTCATGATGAACTATTATCGGTTGGCTGGAGCCCAAAGACCACTCACTGTCGTCGATGACAACTGTCTCCCACCAGGTTTATCTGGACTCTACTAGTCACTAGTTCGCATTAGAGCTCTAGGCACTCATCTCAATGTAAATTTATAGTAAGCTGACTATTATATTCCATATGAAGTAGAACTGCGTATAGAACTTTACCAAATACTTAGTTGATATTTGATAAAAAAAATAACTTAAGTAAACAGTGTGCTTAAATAGCATAAGCCTAAATGAACTTTAATTAATATGATTGAGAATAAATTCATAAACACCAACAGAACAGAGGAGTGAAATCATTTCTCCCTATTTACCATATTTACCATCAAGAATAGATCCAAGATAAAATAAAACGGGGTAAAAAGCCTTATGTACATGGCAAAAGTAACTCATTAGCCAGTTAGTTTATAAAAACAATTTCAGTTAATGTGGATCTAGCTAAAGCATTAAAAATCTTGAACAGAGGAATGGGAAATATTAGTACCTAAGATGTTTTGACTGGAAATGTCTAACTTAAAGTTTTGAGACTTAGAAAATTTGAGCTGAAGTAACGTACTGTGAACATTTTTTCGAAGCGTTTACATATGAAAGCATGTACAGGAACATCAAGAATTGGTTCAGTTTAAATTGGACGCTTTGTCGATCAAAATATTTATTCTGTACCACAATAACTTTAGTAAGATATATGAAGATGTCCTCGTTTTTATTCATCTAAACATAAATGTCAGTTTACTTAAACATAATGCTCTAAGTTTTTTATTACTTATCTTATTGCACAGCTAGCAGCGATTCTTTCAGATGAACCCAATTCATTCTACTGTACTCGTGATACACCTTTGATCAATGAAATATTTGGTGAGTATGTCAATGAACAAATAGTTCAGTCACATACAAGTTCATGTGATACATATGAAAAATTGTGCTCAAAATGTTTTAATCGTATGACAGAAAATTCAAAATGCAATTCAAAATATATGAATATGAATGAATTTTCAGGTAAGTGTACTTACATATTTATTAGCTGAATATATCAATTAGGTTTAGGCATAGTATTTTTGCAAATGATTTCATATTATAAACATTGTAATCAATGTACTTCTGAAACTCTGATAATATTATCGCATAGACAGTGCATATAGAACATGTTTGTTGAAAAAAAAAATTACAGCAATCTCTTATAAGTCTCTTGTGATTGTATCAGTTTTTGTCTATATTTACTTTCTGTGAAAGCTAAGAGGCACTTTTTATCCATATACCAGCTTCTCTGGGGAACAGAAATAAAGTAAAAGATATTATCATAACTTTGCAACATTTTGGGAAAAAATGTCGGGGAATAATCACTAATGCAAAACTTGTATGAAGGTAACCAGTTAAAAATATATTCGGTGACTACTTTATAAGAATTTCCTTCTAAATTTGAACGAAAAGTGTATATTATAAATGAGGGAAATTATATTTGTAAAAACCTCAGCTATTGAATTTTCAGTAAATGAAGCGTTGTATTTTATGACTACTTGTTATCTTGTTAGTAACTTAAAACGAATTAATGAAATTTTTCGGCAAACCAATAACCAGGGACGTTATCCACCGAAAATAATATGAACTTCCAATCATGTATTGCACTTCTATAAACTAATAAATACAATACAAGCAAGACACCAAAGGATAAACTTATTGATTTTCAGGATATTTAGTTGCTTGGTAATGAACAGTACCAGTTATTGATGATCTTTTTTAAATCACTCAATTTCTTTTAGTACCCATTGAATGGCCATTGGCGTAGTTGGTCATGAGTCCAATTGGGTGTTATTTGATGAGTTGTAGGGGATGATATTATTAGGTTAGTATGTCGGGGTTGGGTCCAGTCAGGATGGTTAGCTTAGAGACGTCATTTTAGCCATCTGTAGTCTCATATGTTTACGACAATCTTCAAGAAAGCATTTGATTCTCATAAGTACGGTATATCTACAAAATTATTGTAAATTATCATCATTATAAATTATTAGGAATCAAACTGCTTACTGAATATTCCTAAGTAGTATGCAACAATACACAAAAAAACAAGTTGAATGGGCAGAGAATAGAAACAGAAAGTGTAACCAAACTTAACAATTGATGTTGTCTCATTTGTGAATACGTTCTCGTTCTTATATTTTTTTTAGGTTGTAGTCTTTATTGATATTAAGGTTAATCTCAGTTGGATTTGAAATTCACTCTATGAGGAGTTTATCTACGAGTTGTTCTATGTCAATTTTTAGTTGCCTTATTTAGATCTCGGTACGGACGTGTATATTGTCTTCAGGATCTATACTGTGGCTATTTAGAGAAATCACTATTGCACTGTTTGACTTTTTGTGTGTGATATGTGACGCGTTCATCCTGTTTTGTTGTTTTTATTGAAAGGTTAGGTATATTGACTTAGTCGTGAAATCGGGTCACTGTTAGCTATTTGCGACCTTTTATACCTCCGATCGTTGAAAGACTGCATTGAGCAGAACGTCTGTTTAGACCGGATATTTTTTTATACAATTCATTTATGTGTTGAGACTTATCTTTGTGCACATTAGTACTGGTGGTTCTTGCCTTTTCACTATTAGAAGGTAAGTACGATCTTCACCACAGCCGCTTGCATTGGGTCATGAGAGTGAGTCTTACTATCCATAGAGCACCACATGGAATGGCAAGTCGGTCATTGCTCTCTAGTATTACATTATCATTTGTCTCACCGCTTTCACTTTTATTCATTCTAATTGCTTAACTAATAGTTACAAATGATCTGTAAACTAATTCAGGTTGGTGTCAAATTCTACTCAATAATCAATTATAGTGATTTTATATCATGTGTGTGAAGGATTCTTGGAAGGTATTATTGTTTCCAAGACAACTGTCATCGGCCATTAATTGGTCAGTAAATGAAAAATAAAGTCATACACAATGTTATGCTTTTTTGGTGTACAAATCAATCATGGTATGATCTGTTAAAAAAAGCTCACATAAAACGAGATAATACATTTCCAAATACGGACACAATTAGACAAAAAGCGTCTTGTTAAGCAGCTTGAATTAACAATAAGATCGAACTGAAGGATTGCAAAGGCTACGACAAAAGCTACCGATTGACACTCAAATAAGGTAAATAATGTCAAATTACAACTCTACATGTAGCACAGCTAATAAGTCTGAAATCCAAAAGTAATACTTCTACATATATTTGTTTTTTTCAAATTACAGAGAATTCTAAAAGTTGAGTGGGAAAAATGTTGACGTCTACTACAGTCACAGCGAATAACAGCTGTGAATACCCGTGAAAATTTAAAAAAAGTGATTTCCAATTTAAGTATAATAATGACTTTCCTAATAAAAACTTGTTGACTGCTTAAGTGCACTGTGCAATGGAGTAGTTTGCAGTTTGAATTTAATAGTTTGATTTTTAGGTGAACATGAGGTTGTCACATCAAATTTCATAATACATATTCTAAAAAATATCGTATCTCGTTAAAGCACTGAGCCGATATTAGTTGGACCACTACAGAAAAACCCAGATAGCTGTTCCTCCCCAGTATAGGATTCCTCAGCAGTACACATCCACAACTCCGCATGCGGTAATTGAACTCAAAAACTTCGGTTTCATATGCAAACGCCTAACACTTGAACCACTGAGCCGAGAACCAAAGCGTATTAATGTTTAATTCCAAACAATCAACGACGTTGTGCGACAATCGTCCACTATCTTCAGTGCGTTACTGCTTCATGACCACCACGGTGTCCCATATTTGGACTAAATGTTCATCCACTGCTTCCATATTTTCAATGGTGGTCTTAGATCGATTCAGAAATGTCATGAAATTAAGTAATCTCTACACTCCTATACTTAAATTTTGTATTTGTTAGACTTGGCCTCATATAACATATTTTAAGTAGTGATTTCTTTGTATAAACACTAAAAGTACACAGGATACAAATATTAGAGACAATTTTTCTGGAGGTATAAAGAACTAACATCTCATTTTTTAAAATAAATTAATGCTAATAAAAGATTCTTATCATACATATATATTTCGATAAAACCACCGATATCTTCAGTTATATACATTAATGTTAGAGATAATGGATTCTTTGAGTATCTGATATAAACAATCGTATTCTAATTTGTACCTTGAAAGAAATCAGTACAGTTAATTTTGATTAGATTATTCTACTGCACGTTAAGTTTTTAAGATAATGGGTATACGGAACGTATTTAAATGTTTGTAATGGTTTGTTTTTCATTAATTTTTTTTGTAGAATAAATTCCATCGTTTCAAGTTTTGCATGTACAGATAGTAGTTTGATAAAACTGGTTAGTAATAATATTTGAAGTATTTGATTAACACAAATTCAACTTGGATAAGAAATTATGTTACAGATACCATAGTATTACCGTGTTAATACCGCATTACTATTATTCAAGAAATAAGTAGTTTATGTAATTTTTCGCAAACGATACTGTGAATCAATGTGCTTTTCAAGCTGTGTATACATAATATACATTTTGTAAATAATGTAAAGAAAAAATGTGAACTGTGTTTAAAGGTACTCTGCTTACCATAAAGTTTAAAGTTTTAGAGTTTAATATATGTCAAGGTTGTGAGTGGATATTCATACTGTGATTCCTGGAGTATCTTTTTATAATTAATGACGTTTCATCATGGAAATTATTGAAAAGCTTCGTCATCAAAACTAGTGGATGAAAAAACAAAATTAACTTTTATAGAATAACTTTTTATATTTGGAATCTGTGAATTATCACCATCCTTATAAAATGAAATATATTATTCTGCATTTTCATAATTTCGTATCAACAGAAACGAGACTAGTAATCATTCAGCTGTATCCCGATGAGTTTTGAAATCCCCGAGAGATGTCGGCTTCTTCAGGGCCGTGAATATATTACATTGCTGAAATGTTTGAATTTCAAATATGCTTGAATAAATCCAGTATTAAAAGGAATATTAAAAAAAAATAAAACTACTTCTGAATATTTTTTCATGTGATGCACAGCTTTTTAGAGTTAGAATGCTATTTTATCATATTCATAATTAAAAAATAGACTGTTGACTTGGATCAACGTGAAAAAAAATGGTTAATTGCCACCAAAGTATGTAACTTCACTGCATTAATTATATTGACTAAGCAATTACCAAGTGGAAATCATTTGAAGCTACTAAACGTAAAGTGTGTTCTCCTAAAGGTGTACCATTAGCGTAATCATACAGCCAAACCGTTTTACAATAACCACTGTATATTTACTGGTTGATAATAATAATAATTATGAAAACGATGTCCTCATTCGATCAATGAGTAGTAGATAGTATCAACTTGAAAACAACACATACGAGCGAACAATATTGTTTTCAGTTAGATCCACATCAGGCTTTACTCTAATATACAGCAATATTTATATGCATATACGAAGTTATTCAGTCAATCACGGCAGTTTAAGAGTCAGTTAAAAAAAGGGTTAGGTTAGAGAAAAAAACATGATAAGTAAAAATTACAAATTGCTCGTGTGATGAAAGGTTTACTAGTCAGGATAAGAATAACAAAGACTTGAATCAATGTTTCATAATGGGAGATAGGTTAATGATTAGAAAAATATAGACATTAAAATAACAATCATTAAAAATTTTGAGATTACGTAATAAGAATGGTTCAAATTATTTGACACTGAATAGCATATATTAAAAATGGGGGATGAAAAATATATTAACGAACAAAAACTGCTGGAAGAAATTTTACGCAGCCTTTGGTGGCGATCGAAATCTGTTTACGCCTTCTCATATTCAATTAAGGTAATGTATCGCGACGGATCTCACTCAACTGATTGTTCCACGGTGATCCGTAGTGTCGAGGTTTAGTCTGTTCACGACCGACCCTTACGGAATCTAGCCTGTTGACCTCGAAGTCGGGGGCATACTGCGTCTTTCATTCGGTTCAGCAACACTCTTTTGAAAAAT